ATATAGGACACTTAACTTAACTTTAGGCTTTTTCTTACTTATTTCTTAGAATAAATAATATATGATAGGTGTTTTCATCATTCTACACAAATATTTTAAGGAATATGTGGAAACTACTTAATTATGCTAAACTATTTGATCTTAAGTGGCACATGCATAAGAGATACAAAAGTTTTCATTTATTAAGTCGTAACTATTAATCATAACAATTTTCATTTGAACAAAAGTTAGGTCTGATAGAAGATTTTGAGAGGGAGTACTTATATAATTATTTATTAGCATTTATAGCATTTAACAGTATGCAAGCAAATAGGTACCCTGCTGGCGAGTTGGGTTTAGTATTTTTGCCTGAATTTGAGGGTTCTGTAACCATGGGGAGTCAAGGGGGTTTATCTCATGTGCTTCTATACAATTTGATCTATCAAAAATGGGTAAAAATATTTGAAATAATTGTCCCAAAATATTCATAAATCAATAATTAATACTTAAACTGGAACTCAAGTTATACTAAAGCAATACCGGGCTGACCGAATAACTAAAAGAGACCAGTGCGCTGGCCCTAAAATTCAGTTTAGGGCCAACGCGAATCGGTCGTCAATGGTGCGCGCGCAGGACAGATTTACCTGTCATAAATATGCCTAGCTGCGAGGTAAAAGGATGCATAAATTACGATAAAAAGATTAAAAAGGAACATGAGATATCGGTAAATAACCTTATATTAATTTTCTTACAATAAAATTATTATATAAACGCAATTTAATGTTTTATTTTACTGTTAGTCAGTTTAGTTACGTTACCAAGATTAGGCCAGGGTTGGATTCAGACCCTCAAAAATATTGTACAAATTATACTATTTGTCAAAAATTATATCACATTTGATGTTTCATGTTTCTTTTTTCCCATGCGCCGGGATTTTGGCGTCACGCAACTTTCGACGTTTTGGACGGTTTTATTTTTGTCTAAAGAATTTAGTGTAAGCTTAAATTATGAATATAGGTACCCAATATATTTTATACTACCTACTTAATTGAAACTGAAAATCTGATTCATAAAATATTTTGAAATTCTGTTTTCAAGCCTTCAAAGTTTTCAAGTTTTTATCATGGTACACCACATAATGATTTCTTAAATTTACGCGAACACTACACATTGAATAAAACTAAATTTACGGATTTTACCAATCGCGTTGTATTTCACTACTTTTACTATATTTTTACTTATTTTTAATTCCCGACGTTTCGGGTGCTCCAAAACAATTACAGCAGACCATGGTCACCCCAAGGGGGACTGAGATGTTTGACGTCCCAATGTCATAGTTAGTCAACGGCTATGACTTCAGTTTTTGAATATTAATTTTTGGTCCGAGTTTACGCAAAACGAGCGTTAATAGTATCATGAGTTTAGTCTTGCATACCACTAAGCATACCACTGCACAAAAAATTGCTTACAACAAAACGCAAATATGTCAATTTAGTCTAGTATTATTAAGTAGACATCCAGTACTTGATTTTTTAATTTTGTTTTCAATTTAGGCTTGTCAGGATTAAGCTCATACCTGCTACACTGTTTTTGGATTTTTTTTTTTGGAAAGGTGGGAGAGAATCTACCCCTCCCCACCCCCATCTATTAGGGCAACTACTACTTGACACTAAATCTTTACCCTGCTAGCACCAATGGAATTGTTAATAGCAATTTTGGGTATGTTTCGAAACGTTTTCAGTATACTGTCGAATACAAATGACGTCATCAATTGACACTATATTGTACTGGCATTATGGAGTGTCGAAGTAAGGAGTACCAACTCCCATAGTAGAATAGTTGAAAAAGTGGTCATCTGTAAGCAGTAAATAACAGCTCAAAAACTCTCCACAACAGCGCTGGAATAGTTACTGGGATGAAATGAACTTAGCAGTTGTCGCCGGTTTAAGTGTGCTGCTAAACTAATCAGTAGCTCTAAAATAAGGTTAAACTATAGACGTCTGGTACTCGCGTACGGTGTTAGGAGGGGGAGGGGGAGGGGAGGGGCCCCTACCCTTACCCCGTTGCGGAAATGTATAGTTTATGAGTAATAATTTATTTTGTAAATTTATAACTTCTCTTTTTTATACAGGAATATTGACAAAAAGTTACTTCTGCAGCGGCCGTACGGTGATGGGAGGGGGGGAGGGGGGGGGGGTCGTGGGAAGCACCCTCTACCCTTCCCCCGTTGCGGAAATGTATAGTTTATGAATCATAATATCATAACCTCACTTTTTTATACAGGAATATTGACGCAAAGTTACTTCTGCAACTGCTTCGACACTGCGGGAAGTGCAGCCCCTTCGCCCTTGCCTAGCAAATCGCAGGCACCTAAGTGAGCCGTAGCGGCTGAGGCTGAAAACACTCTAGGGGTAGGGCAGACAAGACTACGTGGAGTTGGGGTGTGCTAATTCAGTTTTAGAACAGATCAATCTTATCTATACAGTCTGGTTGCCCTAAACTCTGCTATGATAGTGGTAAATGAAATAATGTAATGTGAATTGTTATAATTTTGTTTTCTGAAAAACCCCTTGACTGTTCTCCACTGCGACTCAATTTGTTGTATATAAGTCCCGTCTCCAGCCACAAATGGATTGTCTGGGTCTGATTGATTAACTTTTTTATGAGTTTATCTGTGTTAAAAAAAAAAACAAATTGACATATTTGCGTTTCGTTATTGCAATTTTTAGTGAAATTTATTTTTATCGTAATTAATTCAAAAGGCATTTCTAAAATCCAAAAACAGTGTAAATGGTTTAAGCTTAACCCTGACAATCCTCATAAATTGAAAACAAAATTAAAAATCAAGTACCAGACATCTACTTCATAATACGAGAACAAATTGACATATTTGCATTTCGTTATTACACAATTTTTAGTGAACTTTGTTTTTATCGTAATTAATTCAAAACGCATTTCCGCCATTTAAAAACAATGTAATAGGTTCAAGCTTGACCTTAGGCTTGTTAGCAAGCCTCCAAGACTAAAAACATTATCAAAATCAAGTACCAGATGTCTATAGCCAACCCTAAAATAATTTTATTTAGTAAATATAACCTCGAAAAAGTCGTCTATCCCACTAATATTTTCCAGTGCATTCTTTAAAATTTACCCCGTAGCTATAGTGGCGAAACCCTTATTTAAAGGTTTTTATGGACACTTTTTAATACAGTCTGTACTCCTTACTTCTACACTCCATAACTGGAGTGGCACTGCCATATTGTGTCGGATATCCGGCCACAATAAAACAATTTTTAATTGTGTGTGCACCGAATGAAGCATGCCAGAATTTTTTATTTATTCAAATACAAAAATTTATAGAATAATTGCTGGTATCTCCATTAGGCTATAATGATTTTTGGAGCACAAAATGACAAAATAATAGCCAACACTTTTCCAGGGTAAGGTTTACAATTCGGTCGCCTGAATTAGGGGTTGGGGGGTGGTAAGGAGGGAGGGGGAGGAGTTGTAGAGTCACCCCCTACTTCCACTTTCTGCCGGACGTGCTTTGTTTTTTTTTTTATAAATTTTTAAACATCTCATTTTGAGGTTATGTTTCGTAATTTTTATGACAATTTTAAGCTGATTTATGGGGAGAGAGAGTTGGGGAACGGAAGTACCACGCCACTTAACGTGGTGCAGTCGAGGGAAGGCCGGTCGACGGAGCCTAGGCTTCTACTTCTGAGTAGTTTACAAAAATATAACCACGAAGAGGATGACGGGGTCTCTTCGCTCGCTCACTCGACCCCGTCATCCTCTTCTAACCTAACCTGTCGAAGTCGGGGTGCTCCACGTCCCAGGCTCGCTTCGCTCTCTATTGCACTCGATATAACACCAAAATATTAACTTTTATAACTACTTTAATTTATAAACATAATTTATGGCTGCCACCATTTGTAAGAAGGGATCTTTGCCATATGTAGCAGTATTCCGCCGCCACAAATATTTCACTATTCACCAAAATTCTGAAACTCTGAAGCAATGGCATGACGAAAAGCTGTCAACAAAATGGCCGGCATAGCAATTAATTTTACATATTTTTAAATCGATTCCAAAAAAGAAAATCGATCTTTTTTGATTTGCGTTAAAAGTTTATATTTTCAATATCAAAAGATACAATAAAGTACAGATAACATTGAATGATTGAATTAAAAACTGTCATTCTTTACGAGTTGGGGTACATTCAACTAATTGTAAATAATTTTACATATCTTAATAAAACAGAAAAAGATTCGATCTCGATTCTCTAAGGTGAAACATCGATTCAGTACTATATATCGATATGACATTGACAGCTCAAACGTCAAAAACGTAATTAAATTAGTCATTTACCAATATTTTTAAAAAATAATTAAAAATACTTCGACGCTGCTCCGGCAGAAAAAATCGAATGGGGGTGCTTCAGATAAACCCTCTTGACTCCCCCACAGTGACAGAATCTTCAAATTCAGGCGACCGAATTGTAAACCCAACCCCTTTTCCAATATAGCACAAATGTATGATGTCTTATACTGTCCTATGTTTTGGAATGAATCACCAGTATAGCGTCGGTTCATGACATCATTTTCATTGGACAGTACACTGGGTTCTATTTTAGAACATACCCTTTAAGTGCTGATTTGCCAAGTGTTCAAAGCTAAAGGAAAATATTTAATATATACGTCATTAAATCTGTAAACATGGTGGAAAAATAGCTCCATAGCTCTCAGAAATGAGAGGTCACTACCCATCAGTGGCACATCGCCAAGCTTAATCTGGCCAATAGTAACTACTAACCCTCAAGTAGACTGGTGGCTGTAATTTTACTTTTTTATTATTAGATGGAGCCTCCATCAAAGAACGAAGATAGGTTAGAAAATTAAATGTGAATGCATCTCAGCTTCATCACCCTGAATAGTGTACACGTTACGGTTAAGTGGTTTGCAGGTGTCCATGGGCTATGTGCTACGGATAAATTAGTTTATCTCCAATAATATACGAACCTTCTCATTCCAATTTTACCAAACTCTTCACGCATTCGTTGAAATCGAGCCGGTACAGATGCATCTTTTTCAAATAAAGGTTCTTTGGTACCAAAAGTGTAATTAGTTAGAGGATATAGATTTATTGTTCTATTTAAGGTAAGACTTGCGGGGTTTTGACTATTCTGATGTTGAACTGCAGGTCGAGCCGGCCATTGCTTATTTCCGGGAGCACTTTGCACAGACGCCATTACAATATATTTTTTCAATTTATGCACTCGAAATTTTATTAACTAATCTTGGCTAATAACTACTATAAGCCAGTAAAATACAACAGTATTAAAACAAATAAAGATAATACTATACATAAAACAAGCGTCACTTTATGGATTGAGGCTTGAGGCTTAGGCTTACGGTCCGCCATTAAAACAGTCAACACTCAACAGTGTTACAATTACATACACAGTGAATTTTTTTATATGGCAACCTAACGATTACTGCCAACCTCTAGTCAATAAAAATACCTGTAATTTGTAATGAAACGGACAATCTAAAGAGAAACTACGATTCTGATTAAAAACCGAAATCATAATGTTAAGAACCATAGAATACTATAATAATGAATCATGAAGTGACTTGTTCTGAAGTTTATTAAATAAATGATGGATGTTATGTTGAATTACAATAATACTAAACTCTATACCACATTTAAAATAATAAATAATACTAAATAAAGACGGTTGATTGCTAAGTAATTAATAAAATTTTATAACTTAATATTATTTAAATCTAAAAATTCCATAAGACAATTAAAAACATTTTTTCTTTTTTTAGAAAAAATTAAAAGAGAACGAATTTCTGTAGGAAGAGGAATTTTAAGATCTATCAAAGTGTTAAATAATGAAGTATCATCATATAAAGGACACGAGAAGAAAATATGGTTGAGGTCATCAATATACAAACCACAATATTTTTTTTTGAAATATTGATTTATATGTATGAACGGTTATTCACCTGTTTGTATTTCGGTATAGTTTCGTAGATGTGTTCAGAAAATGCGATAATACTGAAGGTTAACAAACTAAAATTAACAAAAATTAACGCACCACATCATAAGAAATAAAACTAAAGCAGAAGACGAGTTTCATATATTACGTGTGAAATATAATGAAAGGATTATTTACCGGGCTTCATAGCCTAGATAAGATCTATTTGCTTATCGTGGCTATTTCGGTATCCCGTGGGTGGTTATTTTCAGAGGCTGAATCTACAATAACCTAGGAGAAAAACCCCTAACTAGGCACCAGGTTGTCAAAATTGTTATTTTAAAATTCAATGCTAAAGAAATAAACGTAAAAGAAAAATTTTTAATTAATTATTGTTTTCCGATAAATATTCGATAAAATTAAATGTGTAAAAATAAATAGTGTAATACTTCCTAAAGTAGCATTAATATAATAATGTTTGATTATTATACTTCTTTGTTTCATTTTTGTTCAAAATGATTCTTTATTCCATATATATTTATTTATACAATTAAATGGTGATAAAAACATCGAAAATATCGATAATCGTACATAAGCTTCGATGTTTTTAATGAGCGATGTTGCATCCTGTAGATATGCTTACTCGGAAAAATTACGAACTAGAATTAGCAGGACGAAACACAGTAAATGATTTGTTACAGTAATTTTAAAATATCGTTTCAATAAATATATATACTTTTTTCACTTGGGCATCCCTACGACTGAGTAATGGCGTAAAATCAGGGTAGTGTAATAACTGACGACCCTAATTAGGGGCCACGTCCACCCTTCATTCAGGGCCCTGATACAGAATGGTGTAAGAGAGAGTCAAGTAGAGTCAAGTCTCCACAACTCTGCAGTCTGTATTGTTTATTCGATTCGCCTGTTTATTCAGATCATTTGGGATTCAGTCGGTTTTAGGCTCATTCAAAATTCACACCAATCACTATTTTTAATATTTAAGAAGGTACCGTCAATTGTTTGTGATTGGTTGTATCGGTACATTCAAAAACAAATGAATGAACCATCAATACTTTTAGGTGTACCAGTTCAAACGAACGAATCTTGCATGGAGGTTAACGAGGAAGGAGAACGATCACTACATACTAAAGCATAGCCCGCCTGTCCCTGAAAATTTACAGAATTTAAAACGGCGCTGCCGTCGGTGCTGCGAAGTAAGATGTCTGTGAGTACAAGTAGATGAAGTTAGTTGAATAATGTACAAATTTTCTTTACGGCATTGGTGCGAAAATAATCATGCTCCGTACTTTTTTAATTTTTGACAAAAAGAAACATTAAAAAATGAAGAAATACTTTACAGTGCATGGGTGTGCAAGTGGTTTAGCATCTGATCCGAAAAAGAGACTGACTGTTATTAAGACAACTTATCGATCGCAGTGAGGCAACTTTTTATGCTGCAGTTATATTAGATATATAGTTGTAGCACGAATGGGTCGGCTCGACCGGGGAAGGACCACGCTCTCACAGAATACCAGCGTGAAATGGTAGCTTGATGCTGCTGTGTTTCGTATGGTGAGTGTAGAGAACCGGAGACCCTTTTTACTGGAAACGAGGCATTCCATCTTAGTCCTCACGGGTGACAACGCATCTGCATTTTTATTCGTAATCGAGGATAGATGTAGATGTCTATGGGCCACAGCAACCACTTACCACCAGGTGGACTGTGTGCTCGTTTGTCACCCTATCCTATAAAAAAAAACTTATTTTGTCCATATTCCTTGGACATTATTTTCTACAGCGATCGTTCTCCTTATCTTTAACCTCCGTGGCGGACTGTTTTTGAAATTATTATAATATCAGTCAAAGAAAAAAAAAATGAATTTATTTTTATTTATTACTATTATTATTATTTATTAATAAATAAATTGTAAATTATGTTTTATATAATTTTAATTATTATAAATATAATTTATTAATATTATTATGGGTAATATTACTATTATTGATAGAGTCTTCACTTCACATATGGTTGGGCTGGATAAATATATAAAAGAAAATGATAAATATACATAAATATATACTTAATATACTAACATAAAGAAATAAATTAATACATAAATAAATAAAAGCCCAACCAGATGGAAGCCCTCGGCAGGGGAGACCAAACGGCCGAGGGTTAGGGGGGAAGGGAAAGAAACCGGTGGACGATGCGGGCGGTATCAAGGAGCACCGCCTTCTGCACTTAACACCGGAGCGGTCCGTCGCGGAGTCCCAGCCACCTTAGATGACCTGAGAGGCTGCCTGGGATTAACCCGTTTGCAGATACGACTACAGGAATAATTTCTCACAGTCACAGTCAATTTTTCATCAGTCTCTACCTGTTTTTCAGAAACTTGTACACAGTCACTATCTTAATCCTTGAGTTCGTGCCATCTATATATGAAGTATACATTCGTATTTTTTTTTTTGTATTTATTTGTTGTATATTTCTAATTATATTATATAAAATATGGATATATTTATAAATATTGTTTCTGCATCACCAAACCACAAATTTACTACTTTTTGCGATCCTGTCCATCCAAAGGTTGTCTGGAAGAAATCGCTTTTAGCGATAAGACCGCCCATTGTGACATTATTTTTTTTCTTCTTCTTTCGTTTATGTATTGATTTGGTGTACAATAAAGAATTATCTATCTATCTATCTATCTACAGGAATAATTTCGGTTGGCAGACCACCCCACATGTTGGTCACCTTGTGAGCCTGGTCCAGATATTTTGATTGCTTATGTTTCGACTTTCACGAAGTTCTCGTCGTACGGAATGGTAATATCGACCAAAAATATCCTTGACTCTGCCCGGTCCATCAGCACAATATCAGGCTTATTCGCAAGAATCTGTGATGATGGGTCGGTCCCAGTAGAGCCTGGCACGGTCATTTTCGTGCACGGCTTCCGGCAAGTACTTGTAATACGGCAAATTCCGGTCGACGAGACCGTATTTCAGAGCGAGCTCCTGGTGTAGAAGTCTGGCTACTAGGTTATGCCTGTGCAAGTACTCAGAGTTAGAAAGCGCCGAACAACCGGAGATAACATGCCTAAGTGATTCACTGGGATGGCGATAAGCTCAATCGACGTTGACGGTGCCATCTTTAAGGATGTATCTCCGATAGTTGTTGGTTTTAATAACCTGATCCAGACAAAACCCTCGGTTTCCCCGAAGAGGTCACCGAAACGTAACCAGATGAGGGAGGCGACTGTATCTCCAAAGTTCTCATGTAAAGCCATGCAGTACCTCCCGTGGAGCTCCTTTTCCTTCCATATGGTCTCCCGGCCGGAAATGCTAAGCACTGCTGGGTCCTGCTATTGCTCTTTGGCTAAGGGTAGACGGGTAAACCCTTTATCACTAGAAATGACGTCATTATAGAATGGATCATCCGATCTTGCCAGGAAGTAATGACGGAGGCGGTACACTTCGCGATTATGCATGGTGAGCGCACTCAGAAAGCCACGCCCACCACGCTTTCGCTGCAAGTACAGTCTCGTTAACGACGATCTCGGATGATGCATCCTATGGGACGTCACGGTAGTGCGGACTTTTCTATCCAGGGCGTTAAGTTCAGTCTGAGTCCACTTGAATATGCCAAAGGTATACATGAGGACAGGCATGACCCAACCAAGTGTGCATAAAACACGTCACTAACTGACTGTTTCATACCAGCCTCATCAATACCGATGTTCTGTGACATACCCAGGTATCGATATGTTTCAGCCTCGGAAAGGGTCCTTAGGCATAGATAAGTCTATGCCATTAGAGTTAGCAACCCTTCCCCTTTGAACATGCATGACCGCACACTTATCCGTCCCCAGCTCCATTCAAATAGAATTGCTAAATTTACAAGTGATGTTTAGCAATTTCATAAGATGGGAGCGACTGGAGGCGAATAATTTGAAGTCATCCATATAGAAAAGTTGGGTCACTTTTGTCCCTCCCTTCCGTAGCTGAAATCCCCTCCAATAATAATGTATTAATTATTATTGATTTATTATTATTTTTTTACAATATTTCACCATTTTTTAATGTTTATTTTTGTCACAAATTTAAAAATTACTTCGCAGACACTACTTACCGATGGCAGCGCGTCTGTAAATTCTAAAAAATTTCAGGGACAGGTGAACCATGCTTTAGCTCGTAGCGATCGTTCTCCTGTTCTCTAAGCTCCTTGCTCCATGAAATCGTGCATATATGGAGTGTAGAAGTAAGGA